AATGTTTATATGATATAAACTTCTAATGAAATCATAATAAAATAAAACGCTTGTTTTCAATTTTTTCTTCAATTAAGATTTTTTATTTCGTTTTCATTTTCATTCTTTTTCATTATTTAATCATTTTCAAAATGTTCTTATTTTTCATTCTTTTTGTCTTATTATGCATTTTGTTAATATTTTTGAAATTTATTATTTACTTTTATGTGAGTTTGCATTTTTTTTTGGTTTTGTTTTTGACATTTAGTTTCTGTGACTTTTTAATTAATTTTTAATTCGATTTTCATTTAAATTGTTTTTCAAGTTTTTACTTAAGATTATTTTTTTCATTTACTTTTTTGTTAATATTTAATGCGTTAATACTTTTTTCTTAGTTTACTTGCAATTCGTTTCAATCGATTGAGAACTAAATAAATTGATTAATCTTTACTAACATTTTTCTTTGTGACTGTTATTAATTATGCTTCATTATAAATCAATTCATTTAAATACATATAATTATTAATTGATTTCTGTTTTTTGTTTTTTGTTTCTTACTTTGTTTTTTTTAATAAATAACAAATATGTATAAATAAAATTTTTACAAAGGAATAAAAACTTGTATAATCATAAAATTTACATATATTTTGTAATATAAACAAAATAATTACATATAAGTTTTTAATTTGAATAAAATTTTTTTATATTTAAAGCTCACATAAAAAATATAACCGATTACCGGTTACTTTGACTAAAACTGATGTATTTTGCATGTCGTGTGAGAGTGTGAGTATTGTGTCAAGTGATCGTCATGTGATCGTGTGAATGTGTGATTTTGTGGTTTTGTATTTAAAAAGTAGGTAAACACTGTAGTTTTAAGGTTTAAAAAATAAGTTTTAATATAAAAAAGAATAGGACGTTAAAAAATTTTCTAATTAACTTATATATTTTTCATTCAGTGTTAAAATTTGACTAAAAAATGTTGTTAATTATGTTTAGTAGTATTTTAATTCTATTAATATATTATTTGGTTGTTTTATGTTTTATGTTTTGTTTTTTGTTAAATTTGCTACTGTTTTGTGTGATTTCGTGTTGATTTAATCACAATACCAATAAAAAGTATTGTTGTTAGTTTTTAATATTATTTTATCATAACATTTAATAGTCAAACATTTAGTTAAAATTTTTTTTATATTGTATATATAAAATCTTGACTTTGTTTTGGTTTACGTTAAACAAATTTTTGTAAAAACGATTCAATAAAAAATTCTGTTTTAATTCTAAAAAATTTTATTTAGTTTCATATTATTTCCATTTTGTTATTTCGTATTTAAATTTATTTATTATTTATATATAAATTAATTTCAAAATTAAAATACTTCAAAATTAAATAAAATAAATTTCTTTTTAAATTAAAATAAACATAACAGTATTTAAAAGAAAAAGAAAAGAATTTTAATTAATTTTTGGTTTTTAATTTTGATTGTAATATTCTTTATTATTAAATTAGTTTCTAATTTGAATTAGATTTTAAATTTTAGTATTAATTTAGGTGCATTAGTGCGCAAAATTTACTTTTCAATAAGAAAGTAAAGATCGAATATATATAAAATAAAAATTTACCAATATTCTACATACAAATGAAACGGTCATTTCACAACCAATTTTATGTTCTAATATTTTAAATATTTTTTTAAAAAGACAAAGTTTAAAAAAAAAATAAATAATAAAAGCAAAGAAATTTATAAATTTAATAATGTATATTATGTGAAAGTTAGTAATAAGTTAATTTGTGTTCGACTGCCTATTATTATGAACAGTAGAGATAATATATTTTTAAACTTAATTTTATTAAATTAAAAACTTAAATTTTGTTTACTTTATTTTCGTCTTTATTAAATTTTTATTTTTATTTTTTAATTATTATTTAATTAGTTTGAATATTTAACTTTCAACTTTTAGTCGTTGGTTGTATGGTTTAAAGTGCATTAAATATTTTGACTTTGATTATTATATTATGTATATGAATGACATATGTGTATGCCGTTTTATACATTTTAGCAATTTTC